GGGTCTTGAGGTGAGATCTCAAAGGTTTTTTTGAGCGAGATGCAACAGTATATTTGGGGTTGGAAGGGGTTCTTCGGTGGGGGGTTTTGAGCCGTTTGGGGTATCAAGAGTTCTTGAGGGGTCTGTAGACTTTGGCTGTAGACTTCCAAAAGAATGTTCTTAAGGGGTCAAAAGTCCTTGAGGGGGTTTAAAAGTCCTTGAAAGAGTTCAAAAGTTCTTGAGAGGGTTCCAGGTGAGGTTCCTCAGGGAATTTAAGGGGGGCAATCAGGGTTTATTGAGGGGGGGGGGGGGGGCTTAAATATATTAAGAGGTTCTTGTGTAGGTTCCAGGAGACACTGACTGGGTGTCTTGAGGAGGCAGAAATCTTATTTTGAAATCACTGCAAAATGAAAGTGTTAAAGGATGTATGGATGACTTTCCAGAAGAGACAGACACACACACACACACACACACACACACACACAGAACGGGAAGAAAACATGTCCTTCAGGTCTTGTGACAAGAACATGCTAAAACATATAGAGCCCCTCGGGACTGCGTGTTTGGGTAAAGCTGGCAACAAAAACAACAACACCCCCCCCCCCCCACCCACCCCCCCCCCCCCCCCCCCCCCCCACCCCACCTGCATCCTGCATGCGGAACACTGATGCATCCCGGCAGCACTTGGCCCGCTCTGTTCCCTCTCAGGTCCTCGGTTAGCACCCCAAACTCTGGATGCAGTCATGTTTCTCCATCCGCTTCCATCCGTCACTGCTGCGGACGCGTGTCAGGTGTGTGTGTGTGTGTGCGTGTGTGCGCGCGCGCGCAGTCACCCATAACGTGTGCAGATGTGGCGCGCGTGGTGTAAAGTCATCCTAAAATCTACAAGCAGTCGGTGCGGTTCGGCACGGCGGTGCTGGTGATGTTGTGCGGCGGGTCCGGTGTCCAGAAAAACACGTAGTAGATCACCAGGATGAACGCGGCCACGGACACGCAGAGGAAATAGGTGATCGCCATCGCCACTTTCACCCAAATCTTAGTTGACATGTTGGCGTGCTTGGCCCGCAGCTCGCCGGGATAGCTCGGCCTCCGCATGTCCCCGTTCAGCTTCTCCGCGGTCGCGGGGACTTGCCTGCCGGCCGCTTTCATCTTGGCATCAACGCTAAAACCTTATCCGACGATTTTTCCTCTGCGGAGTTTTGCGTGTTCATTTGAGTGCGGGCAGCAGAGCCAGATGCGCCACTCTGCCCTTCACGGCTGTCCTCTCCTCCGGCCCGGGTAGCTATAGGAAGCGGTCTAAACCGCAGGGGCAGCAACGCGGGTCCTGCAGCCTCCTCCGGTGCCGAGATCCACAGGAGCGTAAAGATCTCTGACCCTTCTTGAGTCCTCCGTGCGCACCGGACAAACTGAACTCAAGGAGGCTGTCTCTGGCATCAGCTGGATGGGACTGCTGTCATGCTGGCCATGGCTAGAGAGGTTTGTTTCCGTTGGGCTTTTCAAAATAATACAAACTGCAACCGCGAGAACGCAAAAGGTAAAGTCTTGTTGATCCCCAGCGGGACAATTTGGTTGTGAAATAAAGTAATGGACATTAATATCCAGAAGGGCTAATTAAACAAACAGCAGCCTACAGGTAGTGTTATATGTTTTTTATCAACCACTAGAGAGCGATAACAGGTTTCTGCAGCATACTAGCCCATCTTTAACATGTCAATTTTACTTTGATTTAAGACTTGCTGCAGAGTAAACGCAGTAGTGGAAAGCAACAGTACAATACTACTGAAGGACTGTAGGACACTTTACTACCATTTTAAAAAGGTGCTTGTAGTTTGAGTATTTCCTATTACCACTTTTTTCTACTTCTACACAGAAGCAACTATTGTACATTTTACTCCACTACATTATTGAAGATTCGGATTAATAATACCCCATATAAAATCAATAACTGATGCTCTAATATTTCAGATTAAAATAAAAACTTTGATCGCCAGGAGATTTCTCTTATTCTGAAAGAACATTTGTCACGCTTCCGGCGCCGCTCAGCGTGCTTCTGTCTCACTTGACGCAGCTTCGGACGAGGAGGGGCTGAAAGTACGCAACACCTAACGATTGGGTCATAGTTTGAGAGAAACGTCCCGCAGCAGAGGACGGGAGAGATGCGGTCTTCAGCCACAAAACATCACCGCCTCTGATTTCCTCCTCCAGCCTGCAAAGATGCGCACGACAGCGGGTCGCGAGACATCAAAATGGTATAAAAGGCTTTCCCTACACAGATGAGTCATCGGCTGCAGCCGGAGAACGTATGGGCTGCGCATTGAGCGACGTTAACAGGGGATGAAAAGAAGAGCTATGGGCCATTCTTATTGTCCTGCAGCCTGCAACGTCAATATCGTGCACAACACGAGGTTCCAACACAAAAAGACAGCGCTCTGGGTATTCAATATGTGCACGAGGCAGAATGCTTTAAATTGCCTGGTGAGCGGGACATAGATTCACGTGTCTCTGTAGTAGATGAGCAGCGAGGTCAGTGGATGTAATCATCTGCCTCCAGCTTTAAGAAACGTCTTCCTCACACTGAACATTATTTCCATTTCTCACAAACAAACCAAAGCAGAAGTGGCTTCTCTTCCCTTCCAGTGGAGAACAAGTGATGCAGTGCCCTCTAGGGTGCCCTTCCTGTGGCCAAAATGCAACAAAGTGCACTCTGTGTGCCTTACATGCCACAACACTCGCTGGCGTCTCTCCTCCATGCAGCTGGTGCTCTTTTTATCCGTTTAGTCTCACACCTACAGAAGAAATCAGACCCGACTCCAGAAATCAGAGAAATACATTTATTGGCTAAATGAGAGGAACAAAAACTGATAAGCAGCCGTGTGCTTTACATTTCATGTGGGTACAACCGTCAGGGCTCTTTCTCTATCTGATGTATGCGCTGACGAGGGACGTTTATTTCATCAACGGCTTTGACAACATTAAAAAGCTTACAGTTTTGGATTCATGCTGGTCCTGATAATCTTTATGAGAACGGCTGCACGTTCTCAGAGCAAGTTCATGTATCAATCAGGAAGACATTGTAGAAATGGATGTATATAGAAATATACCCTGCCTTAGTTACAATCCGTCATCGACGCTCAGAAAAACAAACATCGATGTGCAAAAACACCCTAATATCTTTTCATAGCTCACAAGCTACTTTTTGCACAAACAACCAATGGTGGAATGTTCTTTTCCATTTAAAAACTGTACATATTGCAGTTCCTTTCAATCCAAAAGCATCGTTTTTTTCCCTCTAATACAGAAAACAAAACAAAAACCAGTAAAGCAACCCATTAACCCCGGTGTCCACAGGCATGATTCAAAGCACAAATTAAAAGCCCTTAGTGTGCCGAGGCATCAATGAAGGCTTCCATTCCAAAATAAAAAGTAGTAATTCATGATACTACACTTTATGCAAGTCTGTCTTTCCAAATAAGAGACAAGTATATCTTCTAAACATGGCTGTTCAAAAATAACTATTTAACGTAAAGCCAAAAACACTCCATTCTGCAGTGAGACCCTTGATCAAAGAGAATAAGAGGCCATGTGTCCCTTAAAGAGCTTCAGACAGATATGAACAGATCAACAAAATGGCAGCACAGTCTGCGTCTGATTGTGACGCACAATTACATAATTAAAACAGCAAACGGACCGCCGCCTCGAAATACATAATTGGTATTTTGATAGATTGGAGAGGAGGACGAGGTCACATGGTGTTCTGTCAGAGCGCCCTCAGGCAACACACCTGATTCTTGAAGTTAATCCGAGTAGAAGCTTCGGCCAAAGATCGCTGAAGTCAGTTACTCTACAACAGCAGACCTGCACAGCTGGCTCTGATGCAAAACAAAACATAAAGCACACTTAAAACACCCCCATCTATCTGCAGTGAAGCCCGTGGTAACAGTCGGGCTGAAGGATTCTTAGTTCTGAAGGATCTTTAGTGCGTCCAGATGTCTTTAGAAAGAAATAAAATGGAGCCTGTGGGTCCGATATGAAAAACAAAAGTACTTCTCTGTCCAAGTAATTAAAAGTCACATAATAAAGTCAAAGAGCAGGGCAGGCTGCACATTATGAACACTAATGGAGATCACAGAGATGGTAAACAGTCACAAGATGGCCACCACAATCACTCACAACAGACGCCGCAACCAAAAGCTCAGAGCAACTGCAGCGAGAGGCGAGATCAGTTCATCTCAGGAGACACTGTGTGCATATGTCCAAATAAAAACAGATAGAGTCCATAGTAAGAATATTTAGTGGGTGGAGAGGGTCGAAGAAACTGGCAAAGCAACTCATAATGAAGGAGAATTGACCCTTTGCTAATTGGCCCGCCTCTCGAACGCAGAATGGCCAATCATAGCGTAGCATCAGTCAGCTCCGCTCCACCGACTCTTACGCAATTGTTTCTGGTTTTCTTCCTCTTCAGGCAGGTTTGGTGGATTTGGAGCTTGTCATTGTTAATAGTGATGCTCGTTACCACATCAACACTTCTATGCTACGCTAGCTGCTGAAGCTATACTGAATGTTTACACATGCTGCTATCGTATTACAATGATTGTATCTGTGAATTTAAAAAGTGAACCCTACGGACTAAAAGAGTAAAATCGCAAAAGGATCCATCTCTTTAGGTTCCTTTCCATAATGTTGTTAGACGCTTACAATTATCACGCACGTGTGAGGTAGTGGTTCACACGGATCTGTAATGGTTGGCTTTAGCTTCCATCATTGGATTTTGAAACCTGTTTTTGCTGCTGAGTCAGCTGGACAGCCTGGATACATCCTTCAAACGCATACTGTAGACCCTGCTTCTCTCTAAAATCGCTTTTGTTTTCCCAAAGACTAGATAGCTGTATTCAGGGAGGGCAGTCGGTGACCGTGTGGGCTCCACGGTGGCTCTGACAGCTTGACGGAGTAGCAGCGGGGGGGACTGTTCTCAGCGAAGGGTCAATTCCACTGATCTTACACACCAGTCTGTTCACAGGAGTTGGAGAGTACCCTCTGCCCATGTGGGAAAAAAGCTGTATAAAATCTGATAATCTGCCTCAAGTGAGGCCACTCGGAAAGATGAATTCATCTGTTAACTCAATGAAGTGATCATTTCCCAACTGAAAACAACAGAAATTAGCCACGTTTGTTCCGTTCCTGAAAAAGCTGAGCGGTACGTTTAAAACAACAAAAGATATTGACCTCCAAACTGGTCAGCTGGAAGCCTATTATAAACCGATATGTCCTCGCAAAGCCCGCCTGCACATCACCTAAAACACTGACGGGTCAGCCAATTCCAGCTTCCAAATTAATAAACTTACAATCTCAGAGGGAAAATGTTGCGCCTTGCCAAATACTGTAAAGTTCTGAGCGTGTAAAAGTGATTTTACATAAATGATCTTGAAGTGAAAACATATCTACACGTGGACAAAATCAGATCAAGCTTAATTGTCCCAGTGCAGAAAAGCTCAACACCCCACAGTGAGAACAAAACATAGAAATACAAAGAAAACAGCCGATGAAGGAGATTTCACTCTTCATACTTAACAGAGCGAGTCAAAACATGGCGGCGGCCCAGAGGTGATCAGACCCACTGATCCAAAAGAAACAGCTGAGCAAGAGCGCTGCACAGCCCCGCCTCCTCATGATGGTAGTCATTTCATTTCTTTAGATGTGTGGCGGCCATTCCACTGACGAGTAGTGTGATGCTCCTCATCCATCTCCTCTCTCCATCTCCTCTTTGTCCCCAGCAGCTTCAGCCTGTTGACACAAACACAGGGAGGAAGTGATGGTGCATGTGAGTCACTGTGCTGGATGCAGTTATCCAAAGATCGTCACGGTAAACATGGTGTGCACACGAGTGGGGCACACCATGTGACACTTACTGTGACTCTAGCAGCATTATTATCAGCTCCTCTGCTGAATAATTACAAGCAGCACTTTTATAAACAGATAAACTATTTAAAATCATTCATCGAGCACACATGTGTTTATTGCTTCCTTTTCTAAAATGTCAGGTTCTGCCGGCTTTTCTCACTTTCACCACGAATCCTGAAATCTTTTGGATTTGGAGGAAACATCCCTCTTCTGCTCTGGGTATTTGGGCTCAACATTTCTTAAAAGTTTGACATTTTTGGAAATGCACTGAAACTTGGCTTTCAATATGTGGAATATGTTTTTGTTATCCTCGGTTTAATCAGTAAAAAAAAAAAGAGATACAAAAGAGATACAACTTGTTAGTGAGTGAGTTAGAGGTGCTGATAGGCCGATTGTATTAACGTCAAACTGATGCAGGCTACCCGTTTCCCCTCCATTCTGTGTGCTAAGCTGCTCGCTGTAGCATCAGATTTAGCAGACAGGACATCCAATACTTTTCTATTGATGAAATAAAAATAAACTAATCTACACTAAGTAATGGTCCAGTGAAAGTGGACCTGAAAGTACACATTTTTGGATGAAGCTAGTGGAGGATGATTCGTTTTTCTTTACATCCGCCCATTTTTTCCCATCATGCTTTCATTTTCTGAATTGGAACACTGACTAAAAAAGAAATTAAAAAATCTACTTGTGCTTTTTATTGGGGTGTTTGCTGGTACTTGAGTGTCAGATAGTCCACCGTGGAGCCTCACAAGCATCACAAGAGTTAATTCAATCAGACTTCGAACGGTCGCCCTTCTGTCTGCCCAATCGCCTGTTCAGCAGGCAGCAGCTCATTTCCTCTGAAAAGCCTTTTAAAAAACATAATTGTGCTTCCAATTTCCCTGGTTTCCTGATCTCCACCCTGACACCAACACACACGATAACACAAGTGTGTGTGTGTGTGTGTATGTGTGCATGACAGAAACACACCATGCCCGCATGAGCTCATCTGGCCGCTGCTGATTATGAGTCATAGGAAGAAGAATAGATGTAATCAGTGGCTTTTGCACCAAAGACGACAACAGATTATCTTTCCGTACCAGTAAAATGCTTCATCCGACACGTTTCTGTTCTACTGGACATCAGAAATAAGAATTTCTAAATGTTTCAACCTCTAGTCTTAGGCACTACTGCTGTAAAGAGGATTCGTTACTACGTCGCCTTTGCTTTTTTACACTGAACCAGACAATGTCGGCATATTGCTTAGAGATGGGACGATCCCAACCAATATCCATATCGGGTTCCAGTATGACATTATTTTACAGACATCAGGTCACATGTACTGCACACAACCTGTAGAGGCCACTGAAAAATAGTGACATATATTTTATATAATATAAATATAATAAAATCCCAAAAGCATTTTTGGCCTTGAAAAATGAAGGTAATGATGAATTGATCTTTAAATGAACTGAGGATTAATTAACTTATTGTTTCAGCAGCTTTTATAAAGAGCCTTGGATTACTTGGTTGACGACTGAGGTGAACGACCCTTATTTATTATATATAAATGATATCGCTGCTCACTCACTCCTTCACTGATTGGGGTCAAACTAGTCTTCCACTTCTCTTTAAAGGGAATATTCTGCATGTTTTATGTGGCTGTCCAATCAGAGTTGATGGTAAATGTAGTCAATTAAAGCCATAACTTCCTTATTGGACATCCACGTATAAAAGCAGCAGAGATCACACTTTAATGAAGCCATGTAGCTGAAATGGATGAGCATTACTGGGGTTCCTTTATTAAGTGCAAGGAAAGAGTCTTTTTCTTTCTTTCTTTCCATTTCTGATGTTTTGACTTTGTGAATCTAAGCAGCACGATAATATTCTAACTTCTACGTTGTCACACTCTGGTGAGCTTACATTTGGAACAAGTTGATCTAAATGAATTTGTTTTCTAAAACTTAGCCATTAGCCAAAGTGACACCACCACTAATGACTGGACTTCCTCATCTAGTTTGTGGTTTATTCACTTAGCTCACTTCTAAACCGCCGTGTGCAGACCGAGGAGGACTCTCAGCAGGGTGAGTGGTTCGTATTCCCACTGGCGAGAATGTGCACGCTAATGAATCATGGTTCCAGGAGGTGCATTTCTGTCCAAGTGGCCGGTTCTACTGTATCAACATAAATAACAATAAGGCAACAATGAGTTCGCATTGGATCAAGAACGACTTGAGTTTTTTAAAGTTTGTCTCTGGTTTTTCTTTTTGAGTCAATATTAATAAATTCATTTTTAGGAAAAAGCATAAACACACTTTAAAATGGTCTGTGCAGAGGAAGCAGTTAAAGAGGTTGAGTTGTGACAGGAAGGCTCTGAATCATAAGGAGCTCAGCAGGAAGCAGATTGGAGTTTTTCATTCATGGACACCAGAGCTGGAGGCCTGCTGGTGTGACCGGTCATGCAGACCGGGAAGAGCCTTCAGAGGCTCACACCGCTGTGCGCTTTAATAAAATGTCCTCAAGTATCAGAAAATTGCAGTCACATCATAGCCCAATGTTGAATTTCAATGTGCAGTTTTTGCTTTCTGGTCAGAAGTTAAAAACAAAAGGAGGCAGTAAAATAACTGGACCATTGATCAAGTGTCTCAGAATCACTTCTCGGGTTGCAAAGACTTCTTGAAGAGACGTTCATGAAGCAACAAGAGGGACGACTTCCAACATCGCCGTTTGACATTCAGAGCTGGAAACTAGAAATGATCATGATGTGATAGAGCTGCGGTTTGAAACATGAATTTACTATTAGCCTATTACTTTGTACACTTACTAAGGTAATATATGCAAAAATGTTATGTTAAAATGAAAACCCATAATGATATTTCGAAATACAGCATTAACAGACTAAAAGTCATTGTTCGTTCGTCAAAATGATCTTTAAATAAGCTTATTGTCATCAGGCTTTCCCGAAACAGCTCTCCTCTCACAAAACACGTCTGCATGAAAGCTCCAGAGTAAATAATCTGAGATAAGCGTGTTATAAGTTAAAGTCCCAGTGAAAGGATAAATAAATGTTCCCAGTTTGAATCCCGTGTGCCTGTTTTAATTGTTGATTTATCTCTTATTGTATGCCACATATTAGTATTTCTTTAACATCAAATCCCTGTCTTTGATTCTGTAAAACGGTTTCATGACTCATCCTGCACTCGAGGGCCATTACAAAAAGAAATCATCCAATCAAATGAGACTTTGAGCGACTAGCTAGCCCGGCTGCTTCTATAAAAACTACACTTCACTGCTTGTGGATTGTAGTCGGTTAAAGAGTAATATGAAGACGTTGGAAGAGATGTGTGTTCCAAAACAATGAGGTCTAATTCATTCAAGGGACACTTCAACTGGGCTCTGCGTCACTGCAGAGGATTTGATTTACATCCCTCATTCAGCTTCACTTCACTGGGACCTCAAGGAAGTTGATAAAACGCTTTCACTCCTCGTCTTAAGAGGACTGTAAACGCATCCCTCTTGGAACTGATTTCCTTCTCTGAGACGCTTGATGAATACGGTCGTGATTTGTGTGTAGATCTCCAGTTTGGCTCTGCAAAGATACATGTGTTCATCGATGTTGGCGGAGGCATCGCCCTCTCAATCTGTGCACCATCTTAAGTCCAGATTTGTTGGAGACATTCAAAGGCAGCTCTTTCCAGTTGACTCCTCCAGTCTTAAACACAACAGGCTTACCTCCTGGGATTGTTGCTCAAGACCTGGATGCAGTCGTAGATTTCATTTTGATAGATAATGTGGTAATTTGGTTTGTTTGGGAGGGCAGTTTAGCTTGAGACATCTGGTTCCCAGGGTGCTATGAATGTTCAGAAAACAGGCTCACATTTCACTCTGATACCTTTTTTTCCTCTCAGCAAAGGGATTTACAAACTCACTTTAGCACTGAAGGAGCGAAGAAGAGGAGAACGCGAGGAGGAAGGATAAGGGCAGTATACACAGGGAGTAAATACAACAAAGACAATTAAAGGAGGTGGAGTTAGTGCTAGTACAGTCCATCACAGTAGGAGCAGGAAGACAGTCAGGAGGAGATTCAAACAGGAAGTAGGGTCTCCAATGGTTGGCGGAGGCTCATGTCAGATCCAAAAACCCGGCAAAATGCTTTGTGAGTGTATAAATATGTCTTTGGATTTGTCATGCCACCAAACAGCTCCCACCATTATTCATTTAGACATGGAAGGAAAAGAAAGAAAGTGAAGCGGAGTGAGCGGGAGAACCACAACAAGGACAACGAAGACGAGGATATCGAACACCTAAAAAAATAAGACCGAGCAAAGTGTGAGGTGTTAGAAGTGTGCAGGGGGTTTCTTACAGTAAGGCACAGTCTCAAAGTCACTGATATAGACCGCACCTGAGGACGTCGGCTCCGAGGACGTCGGCTCCGAGGACTCAACTTCCTCTGCTGTCCGAGCGGCGTCGGTCCCAGCGGCCGTCATGTCGTCATCTTTCCCTTCTTCCGGTTCAGAGGAGCTATCGCCAACTTTCAGGGCGGCTGGAGAGGGAGGGGTGTCCAGCTTGTCCTCTGTCAGAGAGAAAACATTTCAGCGATTGATTTATTCCATTGATCCATTTTTTTTTTACCCTCAAATAGCACTTGATTATCCACTTTAGTCTAGACCGGGGGGGGGGGGGGGATTATCTTTCACAAGGGGCCACATGAGAGACAGGGAGTGTTGTGGAGAGCCGGACCAATAGACTGAACTCAATCCTGCTCAACATTATCAGCAGGCCGTACAATAGACAAATATTGAATAGATTACCTTGAAAGTTTGTTTAGACAACCGTGGTGACACACGTCACCATGACACACATTTGTGTTTTTTTCTCTGTAAATAGCTTCCTGCTGAGGCCCAAAGCGCTACGAGAGCCGTAAGAGTCAGCCAAAACAGTAAAGTTCTGGACTGGACACCTGAACAATGAGCTGTTTTGAGCATTTAAATCAAAGCACCACTCTGCCAAAGTACAGCCTCAGAAAGCTGCTAGCATGACTGTAGACTTTTAGCCGTGTCTGGTTGGTTATTTGACGTTTCTATTACCTTGTGATGGAGCAGCAGGTGTATCCTGGTCCGTCGTCACGGCAGCCTCGCTGACCTCAGAAACGGAGGGGCAAGAAACCTCAGAGGGGGCGGGGTCAGATGGCGGTGGAGCGGGGGAGTCTGTGGGGACGGACTCTGGTTCTGACACTATCACAGTCTGCTGGGCTTTAGTCTTTTGTGAAGGAGAGGAGACGTCTATGGCTGCACATGAAAGGGGGGGGGGGGGGGAGATTAAGAATAAGGGAGAAGAAAAAGTAGAGATAAGACACAAGAAGTCAAGCAGAGAAAACACAGAGTTAAAGACAACTGGGTTTAAGTATTCTACCCGTATCCTCCTCTTTCTGTGGCTCAGCAGGTTCATTGGAGCTGACAGCTTGGCTCTCCATCGCTGCCTTCTTCTCCTCCTCCTCCTCCTCCTCCTCCTCCTCTTCTTCCTCTTCTTCCTCTTCTTCCTCCTCCCCCTCCTCTTCTTCCTCCTCCCCCTCCTCCCCTTCTTCTTCTTCTTCTTCCTCCTCCTCCTCCTCCTCCTCCTTCTTCTTCTGGGGTGGGCTGGCCTCCACGCTGGGAGGTTTCAGTGGGCTCTCACCTCCCATGCTGCTGCGGGGTGACTGCATCTCCTCCTCCTCCTCCTCCTCCTCTTCTTCTTCTTCTTTTTCCTCCTCCTCCTTCTGGGGTGGGCTGGCCTCCACGCTGGGAGGTTTCAGTGGGCTCTCGCCTCCCATGCTGCTGCGGGGTGACTGCATCTCCATCTCCTCCCCCCAGTCTGATACAGGCTGGTGGCTCTCCAGAGGGAGGAAGGGGCTGAGGGGCTTACCTCCCTCTGGGGACTCCTGAACTGCTGCCGGGGGCGGGATGTGGACCTTGGGCCTGGGAGGCCTCTGATCTTTGGGGCTTCCTGCTGATGTCGGTCGAGAACGAGGTGGGGGAGATGTAGGGGAGTTGTCTTTGCTCTTGGCTGGCTTCTCCTTCCCGGTGTCTTTCTTCTCGTCGCGTTCCAAGTCGCTCCCTTCTTCGTCTTCTCCGTCGCTGGCATCCTCCCATTCTTCGTCGTCATCTTCTCCGTTTCCGTTCTTCGGCTCCGCCTGAGAAAAGATTTGAAGAGGTTTATGGGAAAGTAATTGAAAAGAGTTTGCAATCTAAAAACCTGCAACAAGAGTTTTTGGTCACTTGGGGGCAGCAAAATGAGCCGTTGATTCAGTGAACCTGTTTGCATACAGGTTGTCAATTTACACAATCACCATTTAAATCATTTCTTTGTTGAGCTTTTAGGTTTGGTCTCTACCAACTATCTGGCTAAGTAGCTGCTAACCGCTGCACTATGTTCACCAGCTAGTTCACAACTTTGTCCCTCTGCCGTTTGTTGCAGCAGTACAGTGGGGGTGTTAACGCTATCAGAGCTGGAAGACACTGAAACACCCTAAAGAGTGAGGGGGAACTGCAGAGTTGGGTGAATTCATCTTTATTAATAGACATTTTAAATGTGTCAACTATTTAAAGCACTTTCTTAATGAAATAATTGCTTCGAGTTCCACTTTTTCAGGATTTTTCTTCGTTCTAAATGAAACTTATATCAAATCTGTTCCCAGTCTGGGTCTGACTCCAGCATGCATTATTAATACAGATGAAGCTCCTGTACCTTCTGTGCTGCGGGAGGTTTGTTTTTTATTTCCTCTTTCTCCTTCTTTTTAGTCTTCTCCTCTCTCTTCGTCTTGTCCTCCTTCTCCTCCTCTTCCCTTTCTCCTTCCCAGCGGTTATCATGCATGCTGTCAAAAGGCATCAACACACATCAACTTTGGAAGCAGCAAACTCACAAAGAAAGATATCACATCTCCCCAAAAACACACACAATGCATTTTACAGCGTAAACAAATCAAGGAACAACAAAAACACACCATCCAGAACTCCCTGATGTCCTGGACCATATTCCAGTACTCCGATCTTGTACTTAAGTAAAAGTAGCAATACTACAGTGTAAAAATACTTTGTTAAAAGTTCTGCATTTAGAACTTTACTTGAGTAAAAGTATTAACATAAAAAAAATACTTAAAAGTACCAAAAGTACTCATTGTGCAGAATGGCCCAATTTATAATAATATTTATTATATTACATTATAAATAAGACTGCGATAATGTGTTCAACACTTTAATTGTGCAGCTGGTAAAGGTGGAGCTAACGTCATTACTTTATACACTGCTGGGTAACTTAACATGTAATACATCATAATTTGGTTTATTTCTATTTTGTATTAATAATCTGAATCTGCAAATTAACTAGAATTTTCAGACATATCTAATGCGGTAAAAAGGTACAACAGAGTACAACGGAGTAGAAGTAGAAGTAACCTGAAGTACATCACTTGAGTAAATGCACTTGGTTCCATTCCACCACTGCCAGATTCACAATAACAGGCCAACAAATAGAAACTATCAATAAATCAACCTTGAAAATAATAATCAAATGTTACGAGTGATAAAGCAGCATCCTATCGGTTCTACAGTAGACATGTTTGAGCATGAACGGGTCATCGTTGGTAGAGGACAGACTGTGATGGATTTACCTGTAGCTCGGTTTCTGTCCTCGGCCCCTCCCTCCTCCCCGGTCGCCTCGCTGCCCCGGGGTCCTGCCCTGGGACAGGAAGTCACCAAATGACGAAGCTTTCGGAGGCCGCTTGCTGTCGTCTGCAACAAAAAAATATATATATTGATGGCGAGTGAATCATAACGTTTTGGGTCAATTTATCTAAAAGTTAAGGTGAATTCAAGAGGAGAGGGACTGAAAGATGGGAAAATAAATGGTGGAGGTGTGTGGTCGGAAGGGGGGACGAATACTTTACAGGAAGTGATGCGTAAAGGGAGTTATTAAGAGGCAGGAACCACAATTCATGATCCAGACAGTGAGTCAATAAGCTCAGTATCATGACATTTTATGTTTAAATTTGCAAATGAGCCATTATCTAATTTAGGAGAAAGCTACAGACATAAATAGACAAAGTAGTAAAATAAAAAAAATAATAAAATAAATGTTTCCTTTCCAACGTGTTACGGAAGCAAAATAACCCAAAATCTCAAAACTCATCACTGAATGAAAAACATTTTTGCCTGTAATGTTTTGCGTTTTGTTTTGAGTATTTAGTTAAAATAAAAATCAGCCGCAATCCAAGAGTTGATGTGTTGCGTAACATCAGAGAGGACACTTGTGTGACAGCAGCTGTCCTGCAGTGTCAAACTGCCTCAGAGTCCATCTGAACTCTGGGACGAGGTCAAACGTCTGTCCGTTAGCTAGTGGATGATGGACGGCACAGAGGTGGAGGGAAGGAGAGGAGAACTCACAGATTTAAAACTGGCTTCCATGATACTGTGTGTAACAGAGAAAATATTTTAAAGCCCCTTTAAAAGAGGACAAACATTACGGTTATGAGCAAAAAACATGTGCTGCGTTCAAGTGAAGGGCAGCACAGGTTGTAATTTTAAGATGAAAAGTCAAGTATACGACATGCTGTCGTTCACTTGGTAGTGGAGGTCGACATTGAATGTTCCTGATGTGGCGAATCATTTTGTTTTTATATAAATAAAATAATCAGGAATGACAAAAACGATTTAAAATGACGCAAAAACAGAAAAAAACTTTAGGTGTGGAGTGGTAAATGTTCCACCTAAGAAGCTGTGGTGAAAACCACATTAGTGGTAATTATGTAAATGAGTACATGAATGAAAGATCCCTTCATCTCTCTCCTCATTTCATTGTGGAGGAAAACAAGAGATGATGAAATGAGAAAACATACCAGTATGGGAGGGATGTGACGGAGAGAGTGATAGTGAAAATGATTGAGAGAGGAAAGACAAGTAAATAAAAAGAAGTCAAAATGAGAGAAATAGAAAAGATGAGCAGTCAATGGAGATATGAACAGAAGCAAGAGGGAAAGGAAAGTGTAGAAGAGAGACAGATGGAAAGAAAACCAAAGAAATGTGTGGGAATGTAAACCGTCACAGTTCAGGAACACTGAGGGAGGAGGAGGAGGAGGAGGGGGAGAGAGGATGGGGGAAGAAATGAGAGAGAGAGAGAAGGTCAGAGAGGAGATGCAGCGAGGGGGGAGGAGCTCCAATGTGATAAAAAAAAAATAAAAATGAAATGAAGGGATCAGTGAGGAGAAAAAAAATTCTGGATGAAGAGATTGAACAGAGCACCCTGGGGCTGTGAAGAGGACACTCAAGTCATTCCAGAAATTAGAAATAGAGGAGAAAAAAGGAAACGAACGCACACACGCACGCGCGCACACGCACACACACACACACACACACACACACGCCAAAGCGAGTGCATGCGTTAATGTGGGGCAGGTGTAATGTATCTGTGACGTACTCTCCAGTCAGACACAAAGAAATACAGAAGCCGGGACTGAACAGCTGTTAGGAATAATTTTCGGCTTTTGTTTGAACTTTCTTGCCACAGAAAAAGGCGAACATCCCCCTCGGGGTACTCCGAGGAGGCGACACAAGCACTAAGAAATATTTGAACAACACTGTCACACATTTGAGTTTGGTGTGTGTGCAGTCAGAAGCTTTCAAAGCATTAAAGATGAGCAGATGTTTACAGATGCTCGCCCAATTCCAAAGCAAAACCCTGAGAAGAACTGGACTGTTTGTGGTCAAACCTCACTTTCACTGTTTTTTGTGACACAAACGGCTAAAATTTAAACAAGGCCTGTTTATGTTAATGTGCAGAGCAAGGCCCAAATCCAGTGGATTTGCAGGACATTTAAGACTTTTTAAGAGATTTTAAAGATTATTAAACAGCCCTATTAGAAAACATGAAAAACATAAAATGGGAAGAATATTCTGCAATTTAATGTGCATTTGTCTTCAGTCTAAAGTTTTGCATACGACATGTTCGGTTATGTGCTTATAGCACATTAAAAAAGGCCACCGTTGGATGTTTTCATGCTTTTAAAAACTGAAATGAAAAACTATTCCGGTTGTAAGTTTGTGATACTTAAACATACTAACATGGTACATGGCCAGACATAAGTGCAAACTACAATTAAATCATATGAATAATAGTGAAGTATGTTGATGAAAATGATAAATACAACTGTGTCTGTTATTGACTGACTCTGGTTCTGGATGCAGCTGTCGTGCTTCAGACAGACACACAAATGGAAACAAAATAAAAACACACAATGTAATCTCAGTCCCATGCTGTGGTCTAACCTGAGGCCCTGCCCCGAGGCTCTGTACGAGAGTTACGCCCCCGGGCTGCATAGAGGACACACACAAACGCATTACAGTATGTACAAAACCCAACCAAACCCCCCCACACACACACACACCTTGTCCACAAGATAAATCAGAGACATGATAACGATGTAAACATTATTCACTTTGCTACAAAACAAAAACTGTCACTAACGAGGTAAACGCGCGAGACACAGATGAATCGAGGGCTACCTGTGTAAAAACTTGCTCCACATAATAGTGTTTATTTTACTAGAATGTTGATCAAATTTATCCCAATTGTTGAGTTGCATTCGAAAATATGAAATTGACAAAACTGTCTTCACTTCCATAAAACTGTAGTTTAAAATAGCACTTTGAATATTTCTGTTAGCGTCTCACTCTAAACGCCTTAGTTTGAATCTTTATTATCCTTCACGTGTCAATCAGTCCAGAGAGACTGGTTGTTTCACCAAAACATGTAGTTGTGCTCTTTAAATGTGCGTTAGAACAGAAGAGCAGCAATAAAGATGCAAGGCCCTTTGAACAGAGTTTGACTCGTGTCGTGGGATTACTACGGTCCCACAGTGAATTATTTTTATCAGGCGGATGACTGCCTGGAATTAAAAACATGCATGATCAAAATGATGTCATCATAAAGCTCCCTTGTAAGGACATGGTAAGGAGACGACTTCAGAGTCTCAATGTGCCTCGAGAACCACTCGACGAACAGATTGCTTGTACGAGTCATTGAGGAGAACCTGCTGCATTCAACAACTCTCTCCTATTTGGAATTTTCTCTTAGGACGAACAATTTACAGGTGATCCCGACCTGTTGTAGGAGTCACGTCATCAGTCTGTTATCTAAACCTAACGTTTTCAATAATTAATTATATTTCATTACTTTGAAGCAATTTGGGCTTTGAAAAACATAAATTACATTTCATAAACATGCTGACGTTATCCTGTTTGAATTATATAATTCTAATATAATCTAAATGTATTCATATAGACTAACAATATCATTCATTTAAATTGGCCATTGATGCTATTGTATAACACGACAATATTAATTCAAACATGTTAAATCATTTGGCCCGTCCTGTTGCAGTCATCGATCGCCTTGCTGTGACGAGACGTTTAATTGAACCCGTTCTCTTTTATTTCACTGACAGTACCGGCCTCAGGTGACACGGCATTTAAAAAAAAAAGATAATAATTTGGTGTTTATTTAATAAAGGCTGGTTCGTAATGGTCTTGTGTGTGTGTGTGTGTGTGTGTGTGTGTGTGTGTGTGTGTGTGTGTAGACTTGCCTCTCCTGCCGCCTTGCTCGGGTGTGATGCCCTCTGAGGCCGCATATGGGTCCTCCTTGAACCTGTGAAAAAGGCTGCAGGGTTAGAAACACAAACACACACACACACACACACATCAAATATCAGTGTGTCCTTCTCGTCACTCCCGTCAGCTGGAATAAAGATGACGAAAAACACTTTCTATCGTCCTAACCTGCCCTCTTTCCAGAGATGGAGGAATCATTCAGATCCTTTACTTTTGTAGACGTATTAATACCACACGACAAAAATACTCCGTCATAAGTTCAGCTCCTGCATTAAAAAAGGGAGTTTAAGTGAAAGTATGTCAGTATAATCGGCTAAATGTAATTAAAGTATAAAAATGTCCCGTGTGGCTGGGACTACTAGTATACGTGTATTGTATGTGGCTACAGTGTAGAACAAATATTTAAAAGTGTTCCTCCAGGTTCTGTGAAATGATAAATATGTGGGGATGTTGGGGAACATTTCTCACAAAGCATAATTTGAAGAAGTTAATTTGCTATTTTTGTGACTTCGACAGCATTCTGGTTGTTAGCCGTCTTGATGCTCCTTTTGAGACGCACGACTTTAATTTTAAAATCGATTAATCGACTACTTTGATGATCAAATCGTTTGTCCTTTTTTTCAGCAAAAATCCAAACATTTGCTTTAAAGCTTCTCATGTGATGATTCTCTGATTTTAGTATTTTTTGAGTTTTAGACTGTTGGTCAAATAAAACAAGCATTTTGAATTCCATCATCTTTGGGCTTTGGGACATTTCAGCAGACTCCTTTTACCATTTTCTGACATTTAAAACAATTAACTAGTAAATCGAGAGAGATACCGGCCAGATTAATTGATGATGAAATGAATTTTAAGCTGCAGCACTAGATCACAGACATCAAGTACACAGACAATTCTTAAATCAGCAGCTGCTCTGCAATGCGACGAGTTTCGAGCTGCTCCTCCTCAGGCAGCATCACACAAATCTGTTCAAACTCAGGTTCAATATCGTCTTCCTCACATGTTCTCTGTCTTCTGTGCATCCCACTCTCGTCTCCACTGGCCCGTGGCGTTACGATGGCGTGCTAGTCTCTCCTCGTCAATCTGCTCACGCTCCTTCTTCCAGCACAGGTACTCTGCTCTCTCCCGGCCGGTCATGGACATGGTCATGTCCGTGGAGCCTTTCGGTCCAGGCCTTCGACTCTACAAAGACAGCAGGTGTTACAAAGTGAGGAAAATGAATAATGCTGCAGCAGAAAGTACAAGACTGGGTGGCTGTTAAAAGCCACAGGACCTTTTCAAAGAACGACATTACTCACAGTCCACTCTTTCTCCAGTTCGGCCCTTGTCTTCACATTATCAAAGTCCAGCCCTCCCCAGTTCCGGACATGTCTCCTGCTGCCCTCTTTGCGGTCTATGTCTGGTGCCGGGCCTGAACGTCTCGGGTCGTCCAGGAAGTTACGGAGCGGCTTGTCTCCATCCGGCTAAGGAGAAGATTCATTAATGTAAAGCTCTGCCACATGACGTGTCCTCCATGTTCATTTTGACCACAGACCAGGTAAAGCCTGTAAACATAAAGCCTATAGGAGGTTAGCAGATAATACATCTGGGATCACTTTGAGAAAGAAAAGGGAAATATAATTCATCCATGATTTAATAAAGGATTTTTATGGGGTTTTTTTCAGGCTGCCAGCTACTAGGACTTCCTTCAAATGTAAGCAGGGCAGTCATTTTTATATTTTTGAGGAAATATGAGTGATTCAAGTTGATCAATAAAGCTGAAATCTGAGAGTCTCAGAAGACAGGAGACGGGAATCTTGGATGGTTTTGAAAAGAAATTCAAAGCACAACATATCAATACCATCTGATGAGCTAAAAACACTTAATCTGTAAACAGTGACTCTCATACCCGCTGTCCTCTCTCATACTCTGCCATTTTTTCCATCTCTTCATTCATCTTCTCAATGTTTTGTCGCCTCTTCTCCGCCCATTCCTGTCCAGAAAAAACAACAACAAAGGGCTGCATCATTAGTGACAGATTAGCGACAACAACAAGATGTTAACATTGGCACTCAGACCAAAAACAACTCGGGAAAGTTCACAGCTGCAAAAAATTATTTATATTTATTTATATATACATATATATATATATATACATATATATATATATACATATATATATATACATATATATACACACACACATATATACATATATATACATA